AGCCCTGTTAAGTCAAGGTCTCTCTCTCAATAATCTCCTTTACACTAATAGACAAGGTAAGCTCTTTTTGTAATTCAACCCCAAAATGAAGCCTTAATTTAGACATTTCACCCGATACTATTACCGAGGAGACATAAAGGAAAACAAACAAAAAACAAAGCAAAAATTATAAAGTATCTAGATAGATAAAACATAAACAAATACACAAAATCCATTGAATTTATTAACAACAATATTGACAAAACTTATAACCGAAAAAATCAAGGTAAGACAAGTACTTTGCATAAGCCATTAAATTCAAATCCTAAAATCCATAATTGACAAAACCAAGATAGGGTAGTGTTTTTCATAAGCCATTCAATAAAAAATTTATAGCTCATAACCGACAAAACCAAAACCCATGACTAAAAAAACTAAGATAAGGCGAGTGTTTTTCATAAGCCATTCAATTCAAAACCCAACACCCATAACTGATAAAACTAAGATAAAACATGTTTTTCATAAGCTATTCAATTCAAAACAACAATATTCATAAAAAAAAAAAAAAAACCCATTCAAAACGCAATCAAATTGCAATTAAAATTTTACAAAAAATCATAATTTTTTACCTTATTAGCCCTATACAAACCGATGAAGATGCTAGAAAAAGATGCCTAGTCGAATACACTACCAATATCCTCCTTCACTCGATAAATCATGATGAACAATTAGTGTTCTTCTTATAATTGAGAAATAAGAAGACTAAACGGACAAAAAAAGAGATTGTTTACCCGATTAACCTCGTATAAACAAATAAAAATGCTAGAAGAGGATGCCTAGAGGATGTCTAGTCTAATAAACTATAAATATCATCCTTCACCGATCGATCATGATAAAGAATTAGGGTTTTACTTAAGGTTGAGAAGAAAAAGATGAAACAAACGAAGACAAGACGAAATAGAAAAGATGAAAGAAATCTTGTTAGGAGGGAAGACAATGAGGAGAAGAATTTCAAACGAAGAAATTTCAAACAATCTTGTCAATAAGGAAGACGAAAAGAAAAAGAATTACAAATAATGGTGTGTGTTATAAATCGAATGTCCGTTCGTTTGGTTTATTCATTTTCTTTGGGATTAAATGGGTTGGGTTAATTAGATCTTTTCACTTTTTTTTTTATTTCACTCTTTTTTTTTTAATTTACAAAATCATTTAAAACCTTTTTTCACTTTCGTTTTGATTTATATTGACATGATAAGGAGTCACATTTCCACGTGTCATTGTGTGATTAGTCACCGTTAGTTTTAACTTGTCACGTGTGATGAACGAGTTAATAACGTCATAACGGAGGGCCTCGATCAATAAATTTATAAGAGCGCAAGGTTTCAATCAAGCTTAAAAGTATTAGAAGATTTCAATAAAAAAAAATTAAAATTGTGTAGGGACCAATTATGGGGTAAACCCATTAAATATTTGTAAGGATATTAATTTATTGATTTAAATGAATTAAAACTATTCATGTTATAGAAAATAAAATGAAAAGCAACAAAAGGATTTAAATATTTGTAAAGTAATATTTATTGATTAAATATTTGTAAGGATGAATCATTTTATATTGTATTATGTTTGAAAACGCATGAAATATAATAAACTAGTATTTAGAACTATTATATATGTTTGGCTGGCCAGATAAGCATATTTGCACCATAAAACTTTTTGATAACTACGCTCATTTTCATAATGTAAATGTATGATTGAGTAGTTTTTTTTTTTTTTTCAAAAAAAGGTTTTTGGGCTCTGATTTATCCAAATCTATGTTTTTTTTCCCAAGAATGTTATATAGCTAATTAGCTAGGATAAATTGCCATTATTTGTTCTTTTTTCATTTACGATTTTTTTTTGTTGGTTCGTTAATTAAGTCAATTTGGAATACTAAATGATTTCATTATGGATATATAATAACTAATTTTCTTGCACACTCTTTTTATTTTAATCCTCCACCTCCTTATTTTTTTTCAATTGTGCCCTCAATTGAACTTTCTCAGTCTTTTTTCTTTTTTATCTCTTCCAATTCAATCAATTTCATACCCAATTAAAAATCATTCGCTTCTTATCTTTTTCAATTACCCCCCTCGATCTAGCTTCTCTTTAGATAATGACCAATTTTCTTGCATTCAAACTTACTCAAAAATCAAAATAAAGAATATGTTAATTATAATATTCAAGGTACCAGACTAACCACCTGAGAAAAAAAGATAGGAACAGACCTGAATTGAGTTTAATTCGTTCTTTAACCCACTCTATATGGGCTGCTACCTATCTGCTCGTATAAACCCATTAACGGTGTTAATGGTCCCACTCATATGGGTTTGAATTTATTTTATTTTTAAAGGCTTCCTTGCTAAAAATGAAAAGAAGTACATCTTGTGTTTTCATAAATTTCGTAAAAAAAATAAATCTTTATAATTATTTTGGTCAATTAAATTCATGTATTTTTAATTTTAATTAATTAAGGGCTGTTTATTAAATAATAATAATAAAAAAAAGATATTACTTGGTGAGTCATTATAATGGGAGTGAGTAATAGTATTAACATGAGTGAAAAGAAAATTGATAATAATAATTGAAGCGGTAAAAAAACTATTTAATGTTTAAGATAAATTGTAATTTAGTTGACATTGAAAAAGCAAGAGATTATTTCGACTTAATTGATAATAGACAAGCTTTTCTGTTTTTGAATAATTTGAGAAAACTCAAAATGTAAATAAGAAGGTTCGTCAAAAGGAACCCTTAATAACCTCTCGAAGACAAAAAGAGAGGGCCAAATAATAAAAGGAAAGAAAAATATAATTTTTTTTAATATAACGGTCAATATTCATTAAATAATAGTTTTAATTATATAACAATAATGACATATAATACTGTTTTTATGTAAAACGCAATTATATTTTTTTTATAATAATAACTGACATATTCTCATATGTGAAATAATTAAGGATCTCGTTATTTAAAACTTTAAGGTAGAAAAGCGGCTGATGACCAAACTTTCTTGGTGAAATAACATTGCATGCAGAGACCACAGTCAAATGCTATAAACTGGTGTTGATTAAGTAAAAAAACATGTCCTTATTGGGGATTAAATCTGTAAAACTCGTAAGTAAATTCTAGAAATTACTGAGAGGAAGAGAAGGCTGGAATTTTGACTTATGGAACCTTTATGAAGGCAATATCCTTTTGTTCTTATACTCTGATGTGGGCCGGCCGGGGTTGCTCCCGAAATAGATTAGCTAGCTGATGAACCAACTTAACTCTTAATAACACAATTTGTGTTTAGCTGGAGATAATTAATCTTAACTGCTCCCTTTGAAATTCATGAAGCAGACAAGAACTTTTCGTTCAAATCCCATCACCAGCTACCAACATCTTTTTCGTTCTTTTTCTTGAGATGATCATGACATGATTTACCCTAAATATAAGCACATCAACCTTTTTTTTTTTCTGTTGTAATTTACAATAACATGATAGCATGATATATATTAATCAGAGCGAAACCTTTAGGATTAATTTTTCAAAAAAAAAAAAAAAGTCGTCTGTATTTAAGCATGTTTTTAGAGTAAATAGGACATAAAGAATTCATTGTAAGTTCAACAATAGTATCAATCCACATTCTATAGTTGTCTCTCAAAAACATTTATATTCAGACAAAGTCATTTCTAATATTACTTTCTAGATATGGTAATGAGTAAGTTGGACCAAGTTTCTGCGTTCTATGTTTGTGCACTTACGCTAAAATGAATCCTGAAGGGTTGGTCGGTAATTTTGGAGGTTTGTTCATTTATTTGACTTTTTAGGTTCAAATATTTGGGCTAACATTTTTTTGAAAAAATTTATTTAATTTTTCTAAATGCACCAAACTTATGTAATAAAATTGTTTGAAAAAGAATTTGGTTTAATTTTTAATCAAACAAAGCATCAATAGTAGAGCTGATAAAATTGCAAATACATGCATATCTATTGATCATATACATTGTGATACAAATGACATACAAATATCAAAACCCCATAATGGTTTTTATCTAGTGTGTTAGAGAGTTATTTTTGAAGAAAAAATAGAATGAGATTGTCTTTTCCTCCTAGATCAACTTATGAAAAGTAATCAATCAAATAAATAATGTATTTTCACTCCATTTTAAAATATCCATGTTCAAAGCGTTAGCTATATAAAATTAATTAAAAATTTAATAAATTTGACTAAAAAACTAGTAACTATATTCAAAAATTCAAAATTTCTAAGAAAAACAATTAAAAAGAAAATTCCAAAATTTTCATTTATATATTCGAATCTTCGATTCACAATAAGTTACAATTTCTTCCGAACGGTTAAAAAAAAAATCTAAACAAATTTGCTTGACACTTACTCTTATAACATTTTAAGAGAGTAGAGAAACACAAAAACAAAGACCTACAAGCACAATGACATTGTCAAATTTTACGAACATAAATCTATAAGTCTCAAAAAAAAAAAAAGCTTCATAATATATCAACCATTAAAAGGCATAAAATCGCAAAATCGAAGCTTGCACTCGAAAAATTATTCACCGACATAAAAAACTGGATCAGCTCCAAACAAATTCAATAAAAAAAAATTAATAAAATTAATTCTTAAATAAAAGTGTATTACACAATGTGATTCGAGTGTTCTAGATGCTCCCTCCTTTCTCATCTTCGACCATTGTGAATCCCGTAAAGTGACAGCTTTTATAAAACAAACATTTTGGCTTATTTGTTATTGAATATGAGAGGCCTATATATAGGCTCTTTGTACAAGGCTTAACGGAATTGGTTACAACTATAATCAAGAATCTTGGAATGCTGCAACTAATTCTAAAAACCTCCATATTGCCATGTAGAAAAGGAAAAAGAAAACAACTCTGCTAATGACATAGCAAGCAAAAAAGGAAAACAACGAGAGAATAAAGAAGAAAGAAAGAATGAACTTTAGCCCGACGGAGAGTGTGTGGCCCATGAGCCCTTATGGGCGGTGCCGCTATAGGATTGGGTTGGATAGCCTTCGATGGCCTCTCGAATTTTGTTTCAACGAAGCCCTCGTAAGCTGGACTCGTACACATTATGTACACCCGGCTTGGTCAACGATTTTGAAATGAGGATTTTGGGAGGGCTTTAATGAAGACATTGGCATGCTATAAGTGAGAAGGAATTGGAAGGAGATGAATGACGTCTAATTGAACTTTTTCCCAAACAACGTGATAGTCAATCTCGATGTGCTTCGTTCGTTCGTGGAAAATTGGGTTCTCGGTAATGTGAATGGCCGATTGGTTGTCATAGTAGAGGTAGGCAATTTGTGGATGTTGAATACCAAAGCCCCGAAGTAAGTAAAAGAGCCACTTAGAGCTCGTAAGTTATAGTAGCAAGGGCACGATACTCTACCTTAGAGGTGCTTTTAGAAACGATAGGTTGCTTCTTGAATTTCTAAGAAACTCGGAGAAGATCTTAAAAACACACAAAAGCCAATGACCGATTTATGAGAATTAAGGCAAGTTGCCCAATCTGAATAGGATAATGCTCGAAGTTGAAGGAGGGAATCACTATAGAAAAGAATGCCCCGACCTAGTGAGTTCTTTAGGTATCTAAGTATGCGATGCACTCGTTTGCTTCATACCATAGAGATTCTTTCGGAGATAACATACCATGTCTAGATGGGGCAAGTCAAGGCCCTATGGTGGTTTCATATGGACTTGTTCATGCAAGTCACCATGTAAGGAAGAGTTGTTATATCGAACTAGTGCAAGTGCTAGTTACGTGCAACTGTAAGGGCTAGCAATACTCGAATTATGATGAGCTTAACAATGGGAGAGAATGTTTCATTATAGTCTAGACCCTCTTATTGTGTAAAGCCCTTGGTAAGTAACCTATCCTTGCAATGTTGAAGGCTTCCATTTGTATTAAATTTCAAACGATTAACCCATTTGCGAGTTAATCATAATTTTGTTAGGAGGTAAGAAAGTGAGCTCTCAAGTTTTATTGTCTTTTAACGCCTTCAATTCTACTTGCATAGCATCTCTCCAATCTTGGTGTTGAATAGATTGCTTATAAGATGTCGATTCTTTATGGTAGATGAGAGCGACTGAGAAGGCTTAATGTTGTGGTGAGAGATTGTGATAGGAAATGATAGAGGATAGGGTGTGTGGTGACGTGTGAAGGAGTGTTGGACAATCATAATCTATGAGGTAAGAAGGAGGGTTGGATTATCTAGAAGAGCGAGTGGATGTGAGGTGATTATAGGGGTGATGATGGTGCTCGATGGAGGTAAGAGGAGTGAGGGAATGGATGTTGGTGATGAAGTATTTAGTGGGGATGGTGATTGGAAGGTGGAAGGGGTAATGTCATAGTATGTGGTGTCCGAGAGGGTTGGTAAAATAGGAGTAGGCATAGATGTGTCATGTGTATAGGAAAGGAATGGAAATATTTCCTCATAGAAAACCACATCTCTTGATAGAAAATTCAATCTAGAATCCAAATCATACAGTTTGAATCCCTTTGTAATCTGCAGAGAAACCAAGAAATATACATTTCCTTGCCCTAGTATCAAACTTGTCTCGGTTCTGTCGTTTTGGTGAAAGCAAAACAGAGATAGTCGAATACTTTCAAAGAGGTTAGATCAAGATTAATGATAAAAAGAATAGAATATGATGATTTGTGAGAGAGAATGGGGTAAGGGGATACGATTGATTGGGTAGACCGCATCAAGTACACAATCTATCGAGAATTTAGTTGGGAGATTGGCTCGTATTTTCGGTGCCCTTGTGATACTTAGAATGTGTTTATGCTTTCTTTCAGCTCGTCCATTTTGTTAAGGGGTTTCCACACATGTGATTTCATCTAAAATCCTTTTCTCTTGAAAAAACTCAATCATGGAGAATTTCATTCCATTGTCACTCGCGTATGATTTTAATCTCTCTTTCAAATTGTCGTTAAACATAAGCACAAATCCTTTGATTAATTCTCTTGTTTCGGACTTATGTTTCATCATATATGTCCAAGTCATTCTATTATAATCATCCATAATGGTTAGAAAAACCTTGTAAACATCAATGGAAAGGGTATGGTAAGGTCCCCAAATGTCAATATGTATGAGATAAAACGAGAAGTTACAATATATGTACTAAAATCAAAGGATAATTTTCTTTGTTTTGCAAAATAGCGAGACATCACAGTGATATGTGGAGTGAAAAATAGCAGAAGGGTCTATTCTAGATAAGGTGAGTAGTCTTTGATTTGAAAGGTGTCTAGTCTTTAGTGCCATAGATTTGCTAGATGGGCGGTAGCTTTGCAAAGATGAGTGTTGTGAGCTTAAGTTGGTGGACAAAGATAATATAGGTCATTGACTTGCTTAGCAAAACCAATCATCTTTAATGACTTAGTGTCCTAAATTTGGCATGACTCACATGTGAATGTTTGTTGATAGTAGCTAGAAAAAATGAGCTTACTAATGGAAATTAAATTGAAAGAAAAGATTGGCACAAAAAGAACATTAATGAGAATGAGGGAAGATATAATGATTGTTCTTATATGTGTGACGAAATATATTGATCATTTGGTAACTTGGCGGTTAACCCCTTTACCTGTTTTATAGGAGGAAAAGCATTCCAAGGAATAAATGATGTGATCGAGGCACTCGAATCAAGAAGCCAAGTGGATGACCATAAATCACAAGGTGGAATAGGTATGGGAATACCTTTAGGACTAGTAGAAACTATGTTGATTTAGGGAGTGATTATAGATTTACCTTTCGAATCTCCTTCTTTACTTAGTAGGTGTAATCATTATGTGTATTGGTTCGCAGTGAGTTGATAGCTAGAGCTATCTTAAGAGGATGCTTCGACCGAGGCAAGAAGAAAATCAACTTCGGAAGGAGAACTATCCAGGTGAGATTCCACTTGTTTTGTTGATCAAAATCTAGTTTGGTTAGTATCTTTGGAAGGGTATGTGTTTTAGGTATATGGAGAAAAATTTTAAGAAAATTTTAGGGGGAAACCATGCTTGCAATAGTATTTAGATTCCGTATGACCGGAATTATCATAATAAGTGCATATCGGTTTCTTGGTTTGTGGAAAAAACTTTCTAGTATTTGTTCTTGTAGAGAAAGCTTGAGGTTCAATGGAAGGTGAGGGATAGGGGTTGTGAAGGGTGTGATTTAGTTACCTCTCATATTGAGCAATTATAGCAAAAACTCTTTTGATGTCAAGTCAAGAGTTTATGAGCATGATTTATGATTTCACAATAGAATATGATTCATTTAACCCTCTAAGGAATCCGATAACACAATCTTCATCCCGATAGGTTTTTATGGTTTTTAAAACATCACATGAACATTGAGGTTCACACTTGCACTTAGGTATAGGTATGAGGTTGAAAAACTCATCCCACAACATTCTTAAGTGGTTGTAATAGTTTGAAACGAGAGAGTGCTCTATGAAAAGAACTATAAATCTCCTTTTGGGGATCCGAAATTCGAAAAGAATCAACTTGTGAAAATCTATCTTCTAGGTCATTCCATACATCAACTGCAGAATCAAACCATATAACACTTTGTGCTATTGAATCCGTGACGGATCTCATCAACTATGAGAGTACCATGGTATTGCATCTTTCCTAATAAACATAGAGAGGATCATTTTTAGGAGGCATTGTAATGGAACCATCAATGAATCTAAGTTTATTTTTGGAAAGTAACACCATACGCATTGACTTAGACCATGAATGAAAATTGGTACTAGTCAAGGGAGAAGAGAAAAAGAATAAGAGAGGGATTTTCATTTAGGTGGAGGTAGACATGGTAACGGTTCGATTCGAACCGTAAATCGAATCAACTCGAATCGAAACTAAACCGTTAAAAAACCAAATCGAAATCGCTAAAATTGTAATCTTGATCAAACCGGATTGTAACCAGCTATCTATGGCTTGGCTATGGTTTAAGGTATCATGAAACTGAAACCGACGATTAACCGTAGAATCGACGGTTTCACATTTTTCCTAATAAATTTGGATTGGGTCGAAAAAAAAATTTTAATTAAAAAACCAATTTTATATGAGATGGATAGTAGCTATTGGATTGAAAAATGAAAAAAAAAATAAGCCTAATAATTTTTAAGTTTTGGACTTAATATATTAATATATACATAATAATATATATATATATATATGTAAATTGAGTATGTGACAAACGGTCACATTTTTGTGACCATTTGTCACAACTCAACGGTCACAAAAAAGTGACCGTTTTCTATTTTTTTTCTTTTCTTTTCTATAAATACCCTCTCACTCTCAATTTTTTTCATTCTTCTCACAACTCAATCTCTCATTCTCTCTCAATCTCTTAAACTCTTAAGTCTAGAATTCTCAATACTATCCTATAATATTTTTTATACTCTAAATACTTCTTAAATTTTTACATTTCTATTGTTTTATACTACAAAAAATGGCAAGTTCAAGTTCACATATGTCATCACAACAAAGTAATACGCCAATCAAAATCGGGCAGGGGAGCAACAACAACGAATCAAATTTTACACTTAGATCATCCGACATCTTCAAAATTCATTTCTCAAAAGTTTTGTTAGAAAAAGGCGTTTTTACCGTGATTTGTAACTACCGCAATAATTAATACACATTCAAACAAGGAGGTGGTTATGGAACATTCAAAACTCACTTGGAGAAAAAGCATCCATCCGTACTTGGTAATGATAGACATCGGACACAAATATCCGGGTTTGCTTCTCAATCTTCCTCTTTATCTCGATATATCGATAAAAAAATAAAGAAGAAATGGCTAAAATGATATGTGTTGATCATTTATCTTTTAGTTTTTGTAAAAAAATGGGTTTTAGTGATTATTGTTCTAACGCTTTGAATCCTCGCTTTCAAACAAGTTGAAAGACATTCTTTAAAAAAAAACAGTTATAAAATTATATAGAGATAAAAAAAGAGAGAATTAATTGTATTATTTATAAATTTGAATGGTCGTGTTTCTATATGTTCCGATATATGATCTAATCAATGGCAAACTCACTCTTTATAGGTGTAACTTGTCATTGGATTGATAATGAATGATACATGCAAAAACGTCTTCTTACATATAGAGTTTTTAATGATAAACATATCGCTCAAAATATATATAAAATACTAAAAAGGATTTTAGATGAATATGTTTTACCTTTAAGAATATTTTCAATTTCTTTTGATAATCCTAGTTCTAATGATGCTTCAATAGAGTCTTTAAGAGAAATTTGTCAACCCAATCTTGGAGGTAAGTTTTTCCATATTAGATGTGTATGTCATGTTTTAAATTTATGTGTGCAATCTGATTTGAAATATCTTAAAGATATTGTTAGGTCAATTAAAGCTCTTGCTAAATATTTACGGACGCATTCCCAAAAGGTGAAATCATGGGGAAAGTTTTGCAAAGAAAGAAACAAAAAACCAAGACAATTTTCAAAAGATGTTCCAACTCGTTGGAATTCAACTTATGACTTACTTAGGTATTCATTTGAATATCGAGATTTATTATGCTCATTTTTTTCAGAAAATATTGATTCTGTTTTTATTTGTCAAAATGATTTTGATATTTGCGAACCACTTTTGGAACTTTTAAGTGTTTTTAACAATGCAACATACACTTTTAGTGCCGTCTATCAACCAACTTCACATTTATTTATGATTGAAGCAATTAATATTGTTGAAGCTTTTAATCATGTAGAACAAGATATGCCAACTTTACATGCTGCTTGTTCAAATAATGAAACAAAAATGGTTAAGTTATTATGAAACAATTCCACCTATTTATCTTGTTGCTTTATTCTTTGATCCTAGATTTAAAATGGAAGGTCTTTTTGTTGTTTTAAATACTTACTATGAGTATTTGTAATTATTTGATAAAAATATAAAAATAGAAACTGCTTCTATTATAAAACGAAGTTAGAGATTTATATATTGAAATGTCTTTAACTATGGGTGATCAACATGTTAGTTCCTCTTTACCACCTGTGCCACAATCATCATCAAATAGCCAACGTGTTAGAGCCGATTATCTTATGGCCATGGAAAGGACAAAAAGGCCAAGAGGATCATCGGGCTCCACTTTCGAGCTTGATATTTATCTAACAACCGTGTTTGAGTTTGGTGATAGCAATGCAAGTGTAGATTTTGAAGTAATTGATTGGTGGAAAAGACATGCAAGCACCTTTCCAGTCCCGTCCATAATAGCTAGACAAATACTTGATGTGCCGACTTCAACAACAACCATTGAAAGAGCATTTAGCTTCGGAGGTAATATTTTGGATGATAGGCAATCACAATTGGCTCTCGAGTCACTTGAAACCCAAGTATGCGT